TGATTACCGTGCAGTGGTGCTGGGGGTTCACTTCATGACCACCTCTATCTTGTTATTCGTGATAGGAAGGGACAGTGTGTTTCTCCTCACTGCCCAACTCTTACTAACACTGAGCCATATTGCTCTTAACCCATCTGTTCTGAGGAAGCCGCGTTCCTGTTGTCCTCTGGTTTCCCAGGCTTTTCCTACTTTTTGACACACTTTGGCTCCCTAAATGATCATGATCTAAATCCTAGATGTATAAGTTAGTGTAAAGACCATTCACAGAAAATGTTTTTTTTTTAGGTTAACCCTGTCCATTCAGAACTTTTGATGACACTTTCATAAATATTATGTGAGAGCCCTTTAAAATTCCACTGAGATCCACACGTAGGTCCTAAACTTGTTAGATAGAAATCTGCAGTGCATTCTGTAGATGCACCCTGTGGTCACACCCAACCTACACAAATTTTCACACACTGTGTATGCAGGTCTGTACAATTCACATCTTCAAGGTGTATAATCAATCTGTTTCTCCACAGTTTTAACATTGTGATAAACAGACCCCGCTAAACAAATGTTGCTCATTCCAATACAATGTATTATATTTTAACAGCACAGCAAACATGATAAGTGGCACAGTTATTTTCTTTTTCCCACCATACTGCTAAACTACATACTGGATTTTTTGGTTAAACTGCTTCATGACCTGATAGTATATCTTCTTTCATGGGTCATGGTTTTACTTACAATAGTGTCTTTTCTGAAGGCCAGTGTTGGCCGAGATATCAAAAGCCTTTTATAAACTGGCAGTTTTTAGAGGGCCTTTTTTTTTGCACAGATGCTGTCAGCCATTGGGTTGAAGAGACTGAGGAACATTCACTGGCCTGGCTGTCGCCAGCAGCCATAAACACAATATTGAACATGTCATAGCCTTCAGCCACTGCCAAGACAACTATAGAGGAGAATGGTCAGCTATAAAGCTTTGTCCAACCACAACCCATTAACTATCCCAGGTCTATCAGAAATAAAGATCTACCCATCAATCCAGCAATGTTTTGTCTCAGTTTCTGTTGAAGCATAGTCA